ATATAAATCTTTCCTTTAGGTACTCAGGAGTAAGGGATGCTGGGATGACACCTGGTCTGATGGTAAGTTTTTTTAATCTATTGATTTATTTTATTTTCACGTCCCTTTTAATTCAAGCTGCCTGTGTGACTCTATTGCTCACCACGCTGTCCAGATTTTGTTTATAAATCAAAAGTAATAATTTTGCAAAACTTCAATTTAAGAATTGACAGAGGTGCATCAGACGGACAGTACTTACTGACTGAGGTCAGGTTATTGCAGAACATGTTTCAGCTATGTGCTGGCATCTGAATGACTCTACAACAGTAAATGTTTGTTTTCTGTTTATGCTTTTTGTCTGCATGTAAAAACCTATTTTTACATTAATTTATGCCTCCATTTGTACTAGCTACATCTTAGTAGCTGACTTTGATCCAACTTGTTAGACGTTTCTTTTATGTGTTTGATAATGGAACATTTGCTTGCAGAGGTTGATGCTGATGCTCACTAGATCTAAGTCAGATCCACCTGCTCATTATCAATCTCCTTTCTCTTTGTGTCAGATCAGCAAGGCCACTTGTTCCTGAGTCAAAGATGCATGCTCCCATTTTGGATCCATCCCTCTGACAAAGACTGAGCTGATCCTACATAGTCCCAACCCTACTCCCAATCACTTTCTACTGCAGTCTGCTGTTCTCTGTTGTACTTTTCCCCATCCGTTGACCAGGTCTGACCCTCTACATGCCTGACAGATAGAGAGAGAAGCATAAGCAGACAATTGAATTAGGCAATTCATCCCTGGTATTTATGTGGTTTCAGCTGGACCACATGCTGCAGGGGGGAAACAGTCATAGTGAGCCAGAGGGAATGGGCCCCAGTTCAAGTCTTGGAGCTAGAGGGATGTCAGAGGGTTCACCATGCTCAGAGTTAAGGAGGGCCTCATCTCAGTCAGTACCCCCTTCTTTCAGTAAAATGAGTCAAAATGCCAGGGAGAACATGGGGGTTCTTGGTGAGAGTTTGAAGCAACTGTTTCACCAGCAGCGTAAACGTGTCTCCCTCTCTCACTCCACCATCCCCTCATCATCATCTTCATCCTCCTCTTCCTCTGTGATTTCAGCAGGTGACCCCCCCACCACAGAAGACAACCTTTGAATTGTGCTCTCTCCTGAATGTGACCATTTGCAATTCCCTCTGCAGCTGGCCAGGGCTCAGCTACTGCAGGCATGATAAGGCGTGGGACCAGCCTGCAGAGCCGGCGCAGTAAGGGGTCCGGGAGTGGAGACCGGGATCCCCTTCTGAAGAGCAGCCCGCAGGCCCCGCAGCGCCGCTACACCCACGATCCACAGCAGCACGTCAGCCGGCCCCGCTCCTCTTCTACCACCGACACGACACCCAGCAGCCCTGCTCCAGGACACACCGGTGGAGACGTGGTGCTGTCATCAGGGTACCAGTCAACAGAGGAGACAGACAGGGTGAGTGGCAGCAGCCATTAATCGTCATCTCTACACAGGCTGATCGGTCTGGCTTTTTCTCCTCTTTTATTGATGTCAGGCCTGGTTTGTCAGTGAGCTGTCAGTCTGCATCTGTGGCTCACCTCGCTGCTCGTGTGCAGTAACTTTTCCTGCTGCTTCAGCTCAAAGTTTCTGCTGCTGCCAAGGATACATTCATTACAGCTACCAATCTTAAACGTTATTTATTACGAATGTAGTGCTCATTACAAATATCAGAATGTTTTTAATTGCTTTACAGAAGTAGTTTATCACCACTTCAGATTAAATGGGACATATCATGCAAAATCCACTTTTTTAGCCATTAAATGCATTTTGTTGTGAACTTGGAGTCTCTAGGAGTGCAAAACATTTGAATGTAGTTTCACCCGGTGCTGCAAACATATCTTTATATTCTGTTTGGGTCATATTTTTCAGCCCGTTCAGTTTTTTCCTTATTCTATGATGTTATCTAAACTTTTACATCACAGTATTTGCAACAGAACTTCTAAATAACGTCTACAATTTGGTCATCTTCATCCTCCTCTAACTCTGGGTCAGACATGTAAGGCTGGATGGACAAGTCTTACCTTGTTGATATCTTTTAATTCATTTGTAAATAAAACATTTTGCACTGCTATATAGTTGCAAACTCATCTATCAAGCTCGAATGGACCGATCTGAAAGGTGCAGGGGTGTCAAACACCTCGTTTGGATAAAAAAAAAACAGCCTCAAAATGAGTTGATCTGAGACAGACCTCAGAAAAGTGGTGGAATTACAAAAAATGAGGGAATTAGTGTTTAATGTGTACTTTAAATTAAACTGTTGGAAATAAATGACTGTAGTTTGTTCTGTTTGCCACCAGAGGGCACAGTCAGATCAACAAAGCTGCCCTGAGCAGCGCTGGGCCTTGACTCATGAGCTCCTGCTTATAGACCTGACTGATCCTTAGGTTAATGAAAACATCTGTGCAAATAACATATTAGCAAGACAGAATTGAGTTTGGCAACCAATCCATGAAACGGTTTCAAACAGCCCTCAGTAAATATCTCATAAAGTCCGTTCCCCTTTTGTTCACTGGTAAAGCAAATGACCCTGAGCCCTATCTGTGTCAATGACCTCAGTTAAAATGATAGAGAGCCATGCATGGAGCACCAACCTTCCTGAGGTCTGCTGTCTTTTCTCATACAGCCAACAACACAGCAGAGCAGTGTCATTAGAGTAGTCCAAGCCGTTGCTGTGATTACTCTCAAAATTGTGGCAAGCTACCTCGATGTATACCCTGTTTGTGTTGCCATAGTGACAGCATAGTTGACCTTGGAAGTGCAACATCCTGCTGCTAGCGGAGGTTGAGGGTTTAAGGCTTGTTTGACGTTGTTGATCAGGAATGTTCTGTCAGTGATCAGGTCTCAGGCAGGAAACAAACAAGTCTTTTTTCCTTTTATTTCCTTCCTTTTATTCCATTTCCTCTCCGCTGTTCTTTCTTTTTCCCCCCTCAGTTCCTTTATCCCCGGAGAGAGGCTAATACAAGCAGTGAGCTCGTCCCTCCTCCTTTTCCATCTCCCCCTCCTCCCTTTCAGTCTCTCCAGCAGCACCTCCTGCTCACCACCACCCCACCCTTTCGGCTCACTGACAGGAAGCAGGAGGCAGCCTCACCTTGTCCTAGATGAGTGGGAGCTGAGCTTTTAGCCGAGTGTGAGTGTGTTATCAGGTCTGCCTTCAGGAGAGGATGTGGAAGGGCGTGTGCATGTGTGAGATCTCATTTTCATCTTCCACATGCCAAATCTGTCTCTAAGTGTGTCCACTGAAAATCATCCATGCATTGACAACCATGTAAGTGCGGGTGGGTGGATCTGTGTGAATATGAGTAGGGGGGCAACACAGCAAGGTTGTCTTTATCTCTCCTTAGCCACCTCCCTTTTTCATCGCTCACTTTTTTCCCTCCCCTCTGTTCTCACTTGTGTTTGCGTTGCAGAGGCAAAGCAGTGTGTACTAGAAATTTGTGTGCACATGGCTATTTAAAGGGGAAGGTAGTGTGTGCTCCATGCGTGCGTGTGTGTGTGAATGTGGAGTGCACCGTATGAGACGGTGTGGACTTTGGAGAGGTTTTGGCAGAGTGGAGTAGAGCAGGGGGATCCAGCTGTGGATCTGTCAGTCAGTAAGGATGGTGCAGCGCTTCAGTCTTCGTAGACAATACTCCAAGGTAAGCCTTCAGCCAACAACCATATCTATGTCTTCATAATTGATTTGAAGTTTTTGTTGTAAGAAAAACGTGGTGACATGTTTTTATATGCTTGAATGTTTTCCTGTCTTTAGTCTGTCTCGTATTTGTTCAGTCTCATGGTAAGCAGTTTATTTTGATTGCTTAATCAGATATTTAATTTTATTCTTGCAAAAACATTGTTCGTTCTTTAATGTTTTTCTAGAACAATTGCAGGTTTTATTTGAGTTTATTGCTACTTTATTTCTTATAGTGACAGGGAGGTCTGTCTTCTGATCTAATATCAGCGTTTAATAAAAATGAATTAACTCACCCTGAAGAGTTAAGAATTACAGCCTGTAGGATCAGTTCAAGCCTTCACCCAGAGATGTTATTATTGTGCACATTATGCTTGATTATTTCTGATTAGGGAGCATTTATGACTGGCTTTCAGCAGCAAGCTGTAAAGCTGTCTTCCACAATTGTCCCCAGGTGGTAGTGTGGGTAAAGAGCGTGGATGGGTTGTGTTAAGTCAGGACAAGGTTTTTGTTTAGAGCCTGCTGTTCAGCAGCTGCTGCTCAGTCTATAACATTAATTACAATTAGCTGCAGATTAACTAATTGATCTATTTTAATCTCCATGTTTCTTTTTATATTTTAATGTGTTATCTGTCAGAAAGTCGCAACATGAACAAATTAGTACCTGGATACAAGGTGATGTCAAATTCGCTAAACTTGAAAAGTAGCATGAAGTTGCACATTAGAAATCTTGCAGTTGGGAGGTTCAGTTCTGTAGATGTTCTAAAACTGCACTGAACTACAGTCAGAGTATAGTTCATTTAAGTAATGTAGCTTTTCTGTGTAGTGTTGCGAGAAGCTGGTGTGTACTGTATTTCCATCACTGGACGAGAGGTGAGTACAACCTCGATAGACAGACAGTTAATGTAACGTGGTCTGTGGGAGGAAACCAGAATACTTAGAGAAAACCCATGAATGCACAGGGAGAAAGTGCAAACTCCATACAGAAAGGCTGCAGCTGGGTTCTTGCAATGATGTGACATCTCTGAACCTGATGTTTAGCTGGAATATTTAGGAGTTACCTCTTAACGCAAATCTCAGATAACTTTTTTGCATGGATTTCATTTACTTTATACATTTCCTTGGTTTAAGATTCCAATTACGGTAAATTATATTCAGGCTTGTTGCTTTTTTTGTCAGAATTGGACAGCATTTTAATGACTTGAGGTGTGAGAAAATATTTTAAACTGAACAAGCCAAATAATTAAAGGAAGAGCATTTTTTAACTTTATTTTTAGCAAATATTGAGCACCTACAGTAATGCTGTAGCCTGGTAAAAAACAGCCCCTTGTTCTTTGCTTTGCATATGGACTCTCGGCTATTGAGAAATGATTTCTTGCTGGATGTGTGGGCTCTGTTAAGGTTTTCAACGATTGGATCAGGTTTTACCCAATTGTTAATGTTTGGCCGTGGCGTATGCATTGTACCGGCTCAACCATGAAGGAAGCTAAGCTAAGAAGCTAACCAGAAATTGCATGTGCTGTAAACAACCATCTCCTACTGAGATGAGATTAGTACTGAGCTGAAAGAGATGGCTGTAAATGACTGCAGGCTTTGTGAGACAAATTTAATTTAATTTTGAAGCCTTGTCAACGCGGACTGAATGGCTTCATTCATTTCCTCCGCTGCCAGTGCTAAACTACAGGCAGACTAAAACAGCACAGAAAATCAACAACATCGTTCACAACCCCTGCTTCTGTTCACTGATTGGCCCGTTTGAAATTCTACCAGAGAAAACTCAGACAGAGCAGTGAAGGGAGATTAGAATCAAGTGGAATTTTTTTAGGAAGGCAATGGCCAGGCTGGATGTGCTGGTAAACAACTTGCTTATCTGTCTATGCATCTTTGCCATATGGAAAAGTTGCTTTGTTGTCTGAAACAGTGGTTCCCAACCCTGGTCCTCAAGGACCTCTATCCAGCATGTTTTACTTATTTCTCTGCTATTCAGCAGGTCTTCAGAAGATTGTTAATCACTCATTCATTCAAACCAGGTGTGTCAGATCAGGGAAACATCTAAACATGCAGGAAAGGAGTCCTTGAGGACCAGGGTTGAGAATCACTGCTTTAATACATGTTATCTGATTTATTATTTACAAATAAATGACAAAGAATCAATGGCTTCCAGAGGCAATACTAAAGACATAAAACTAAGTCAATATTATATTTTGAAAATATCTCATCAAGCTCAGAGAAGCTCTTGAGGTTTTGGTCAACATTTAAAGCTGTGACTTTTAGATGTTTCCCTGATTTAACACACCTGGTTTGAATGAATGTGTGATTAACAATCTTCTGAAGACCTGCTGAATAGCAGGGAAGCAAGTACAACATGCAGGATAGGGGTCCTCGAGGACCAGGGTTGGGAACCACTGGATCTTGGCCAAAATGTGAACATCCTGTCAAAAGAATATGGCCAGTTCATGACAATATAAAAAGCAAATACTCATAAATCAAGAGTTCAAATCAAAAAATGCTTATAAAGTCTGTGGTCAATCAAGTAGGCCTGTTCTGCTTGTTACAAGATTTATAGTTTTCCTAATTAATCAAGTATCATAGTCGTGCTGGTGAACTCATCCTTCCAAATAAATTCACACAAGTGAAGAAATGTTTCCCTCAGACATTGTCTCCTCCCGCTGCTGTTGCACAAAACCTTTGTATCGTCTTCACAGCAACAATTACAGCCATGTCTGATTGAAAAATGAAACCGTGT